TAAACCCTAAACCCCTAAATCCCCTGAAGCGCTGGGTCGCAGGTCATTGAGACGCAAGGGAAGGAGCGATCCAGGGGCTTTTACTGGGTCTTGCTTGTTATTTTTTTGTTTTTGTTCGGTCTTGTTGGGTTTTTGTTAGGGGTTTAGGGTTTTTGGGGTTTTGGGGTTTAGGGTTTTGGGGTTTAGAGGTTTCGAGGTTTCAGGGTTTAGGGACTTGAAACTTTACACTCTAGGGTTTTAGGGTTTGGGGATTTAGTCTGTGGGGTTTAGGGATTTCAAGTTTTGAGGTTTAAGGATTCGAGATTCGGGGTTTTGGGGCATCAGGTTCTCTGAAGGGGGTGAAGGGGGGGGTTTTAAGAATTCCACAGGGTTTTAAATAGGGGTTTAGGGTTTAAGGGGTGTAGGGGTTTAGGGTTAGGGCATCGGGTTTTGGGGTTTTTCGTTTAGGGTTTGGGGTTTAGGGTAGGGTTCGGGATATAGGGGCTTAGTAAGTCGAGTCTAGCTGTCTGAATAAGTCTGTATTTGCGTTTTCCCCTCTGGCAGTTCCACTATGAATCTCACATAGTATACCGAAAGCTTTCTTCTTACTTATGCAGTGGGGGGGGGGGGGGTCCCGTATTACCTTGAGAAGAACACCTTGTGGAAGGGCCCTCGCAGTGGGCCTCGACGCTTAGGGTTTCTGGGTTTATTACTCGGAGCATAGGCATGGAGCGCCTTGGTGGTTCCACGGGTTTAGGGTTTAGGGTTAGGGTCTACCGTCTACCTACCCTAAGGCTCATGGACCCCCACAGTGAAAGCCCAAACCTTAGCCCCCAAAGCCCCAACATTCTGCTAGAAAGCCCATAGCAGCAATAAGAGCCTGAGGGTAGAGTGCGGAAGGAGAGCTCGGGCAGTTAAGTTGCCGCGGCAGCAGACTGTAAGGCTTTAGGTTTGAGTGTAAGAATAAGCCCACAGACTCCAAAACCCCTTAATCAAGAAACATACCTTAAATCGTATTAGGGTTCCTACTGTAGTTTAAGGTATACGCTTCCCTAAATTGAGGGGTTTGGGAGTCTTGGGGAGGTACCACTAGCCCTTGTAGTAACCCTCACAGTAGCCTTTCAGTAACCCGGTATTGTACCCGCATTATAGGGGAATAGCATTGTGTAGTGCTCCCATGTCTAAGCCGATTTGTGCCTGCTGATGCAAGGCCTACCCTAAGACTCTTATTGCTGTTACCCTAAGGACGAAATGACCCTTAAAAGTAGGGGCCCTATACCCTTATACCTGTAATCCCTATATGGTATATGAACCCTAAACCCTTTTAAGGCTCATTTCGTCCTTAAGGTACGGGCTTTGTAGGGAAAGGTTTGGGCTTTGGGGCCTAAGGTTTGGGCTTTCACTATGGGGATCCATGAGCCTTAGG